GTGGGTTTTTTTCAGTACCGGCGGAAGTCGATCAGAATATCACCAATCAGCAGTAGGTTGTCCAAAGATTACTTTCCGTATCACAATCCGTGTATACATTGTGCTTAACTACGTCCTCGGTTCAATTATCTAGACGAATGTTGTTTTGCGGCAACTTAATGACTAGTTACCTGTGGGAGTTAACGGTAGGTCATGCTGTCGACGAAGACGTCGAAAGGGTTTCTTGGGATGTCCCTCTGTCCCGAGATTTTCTATTCAAGTTAATTGATTCTCGATTCCAGAATATGTCCATTATGACATGAGAAAACACATAGCGACAATGGTTGAACGGCGAGGTCATTGTCCCAGCGGATTCAGGTGCACTGTCCAAGCTGGCTTCAACACGGTGGAAAAGATGTCACAGGAAGCGCTATTCTCGCCATGTTACAAAGTAAAGCCTGAATCAGCATTCAAAGTTAGCTATCGAGTACCACCTCACCCATCCAAATCGCTACGTCTGCTCACCCCCTAACCACTGCGGAAGCGATCGGTATTCGTCTGTTTATACCCAATCTATGTGCACAAAACAGATTGGCTCATACCATTCAACTGCTGTGGCCGAAGATCGGTCTCACGGTTGACGCATCGCTGCCTGTCTACAGTGTTGTGGTGACCTAGTGGTGTGAAGCACGTCGTACCATTCAACCCACACCACTCTCACTGTGACTTCAGAATGACTGAATGCCTATCCTCATTTAACATGCCATTTCCTTATATGATCTGTAGAGGTTAGAAGATGAATCAATGAAAAAAATTATTCGCCTCTAAACGTACGATTGATTTTCTTGAATACCGTCTGTTTTGTCATCTTGTTCATCTCCCTAACTTTAACTGTTTCAATTTGCTCGACCATTAATAAACCTTGCACTGTCGTATGGCAATTAAATCCGTTCTGCAAAGCAATTCAGTAGAGGCGTACTATCTGGACTGAGATGTGCATGAAATATAGTGTAATATCATAGTAGATGCACGAGCATCACTGAGCCACGTCAAGGATGGCGTAATTATATAGTTTAACCATTCCTGACCTTCCAAGTATCGCCTGTTTCGGAAACCTATTTGGGGGCATCCCCACAGCTCGCTCATACTTGCTAGCGCATGATTTCGATCACTCAGGACTACGTCTGACCTTGACGTTGTTTGTTCGCTCAACTCAGTAGACTCTTGCGATACATTGCCGAAAACCGTTAGCCTGTCTTTATCTGTTCTCGTGACACCTGGATGCCCTCGGGTTATGCAGAGCTGAATACTACCGGGCACCTCCCTGGGTTGTGGAGCTGTGAATAAGTTGTCGCGTACCGCAACAAATAAGCAGTCACGAACAAACAGCGGCGTAGGTAGGTAGGTTTAAGGCTGGTCACCTGACTCCTGTTTAAAAGCCGCATAAGCCCAATGGCGGTGTTGTGGCAGAGGTCGATGTAACTGGCCTTTTAAAACCAAAGGCATTGACCCCCTCACTTCTGACGCGAGGGATTACTTCCTGCTGCATTACAGTTCGCACTTGGCTGTACAAAGGCTAGAGGTGCGCCCTCAAAGTAAAAAACGCGGAGTGACACTGGGGACATCTCTGTCGTACCAAACTTCATGATCATGATGGTATCTGGAGCCGCGGCCTATCCTTTGCAAAGAGTCAGCCGCAGTAAGTAAGTCTGTCTCTGCGCCTTAGGATACCACTGTTGTGGACCGAGTTTTTCTTTAAATCCCTGAAATCCCGGAATACAAGAGAAAGATCAGTTTCGGAAAATTGAACAATGTGGCTGTTTGATTTTGTTGATAAGCGCAGACAGTGAATTGGATTTCGAGAAAAGGAGGGAGAGTGAGAGCATACAACCGATAGAAACTGTGCAGCACCATAGGTAAGGTAGACGAACTTACAAACATAATCAACTGCTTGATGCGTTGACAAGGGCTCGATATGAAACAAGGTTTCTCATTCATTTTTAACGATCCCGTGGCGATAGGACAAAAATTCAAATAAAAGTTTTCCAAGGTGAGATTGAGCTGTTTGCCTGGTAGCAAAAGTTGGGCGGAGGGGAGGGGGCTGGGGTGGAAACTAGGAACAATGAATGAGCGGATCTCTTAATGAGTGAACTAATCCATTGGCCTGGCCAAGGGACGACAGAACCAACTGTGCGGGACAAAGACATCGATCCACGAGCCGAACACCGGTTGACAATTTTTTCGTGCATACCATTCCATTGAGTACAAACACATCATTTGACCCCAACCGATAAACAATAGGACCCAAATGAACACATTCCAACCACGACAGGAACCTTTCACATAGATGAATGGATAACCGGCAAACGCGAAAAATACAAACAACACGGGATAGACAAAGCGTAGAACCAGAATGAGCACATATTCGTGCACGGCAGCGGACAACCAAAATACCACAGCAGCGGCCAATTGTCGTGATCGGTGCGGAGCAAAGCGTTGTAAATCTCGGTACAGGTAAATGTACAACCAATCGTGCACAACCACATTCCACGTCCGGTACCAGGTACTGAACGTCGTCGAATTCCACCAGTCTTTGTAGAACAGACGATCCCCGAACCGGAGCATCTCGGCAAACGCGTTCATCCACGAATGCAGAG